CCTGCTCCTGCTGGCCACACTATTCCTGACACAAGCCAGGATGCTGTTGGCCTTCTTGGCCACCTGGGCACACTGCTGGCTCATGTAAGGCCGGCTGTCGACCAGCACCCCAAGGTCCTTTTCCGCCAGGCAGCTTTCCAGCCACTCTTCCCCAAGCCCGTAGCATTGCATGTGGTTGTTGTGACTGAAGTGCAGGACCTGGCACTTGGCCTTGTTGAACCTCATACAGTTGGCCTCAGCCCATCGATCCAGCCTGTCCAGATCCCTCTGCAGAGCCTTCCTGTCCTCGAGCAGATCGACGCTCCTGCCCAGCTTGGTGTCATCTGCAAACTTACTGAGGGAGCACTCAATCCCCTCATCCAGAACATTGATAAAGATATCCTGGACAACAGATCACTCACTCTCATTTGTCTTTGTAGATCTCCTGTGCTTTGCCTTCTACAGCTGTGCCATGATGAAAAACTTCACCTGTCACTTTCTGATTACTGCCACCCATTGCCACAAAACAAACCCTTCATAACCCCCCTGAGGGCTTGTGGGGCAAAAGGCAAAAGCTGAAGGTCGGTAGCATTTCACACACAGCCAATCTGGGGACAGTGGGAGTGGTACAAAGAAGCCACCTTGGACGTGCCTCCAGGTGGTGGGGTGCAGGTATTCCCTCCAGCCATTTTTGGGCTGTGGAGAGGAAAGCCACGCATACACCTCACAGAATCACAGAACCACAGAAAGGTAGAGGTTGGAAGGGACGTCTATGGGTCATCTAGTCCAACCCCCCCTGCCAAAGCAGGGTCACCTGCAGCAGGCTGCACAGGACCACATCTACGCGGGTCTTGAATATCTCCAGAGAAGGAGACTCCACAACCTCCCTGGGCAGCCTGTTCCAGTGCTCCGTCACCCTCAGAGTGAAGCAGTTCATCCTCACATTCAGCTGGAACTTCCTATGCTTCAGTTTGTGCCTGTTGTCCCTTGTCCTGTTGCTGGGCACCACTAAAAAGAGTTTGGCCCCATCCTCCTGACACCCATCCTTAAGATGCTAATAAGCATTTGTAAGATCCCCTCTCAGTCTTTGCTTCTCCAGGCTAAACAAGCCCAGCTCCCTCAGCCTTTCCTTGTAGGAGAGATCATCCTCGTAGCCCTCCACTGTACTGTCCCGCAGCTCCTCATCTTTCTTGAACTGGGGAGCCCAGAACTGGACGCAGTATTCCAGGTGGGAAGTCACTAGGGCAAAGTAGAAGGAGAGGAGAACCTCCCTCGACCTGCTGGCCACACTCTTCTCAATGCACCCCAGGACACTATTGGCCTTCTTGGCAACAAGGGCACACTGCTGGCTCGTGGTCAACTTGTTGTCCACCAGCACCCCCAGGTCCCTCTCCGCAGAGCTGCTTTCCAGCAGGTCAGACCCAAGCCTGTACAGGTGCATGGGATTGTTCCTCCCCAGGTGCAGGACCCTGCACTTGCCCTTGTTGAACCTCATCAGGTTCCTCTCTGTCCAACTTTCCAGCCTGTCCAGGTCACGCTGAATGGCAGCACAGCCTGCCAGTGTATCCACCACACCTCCCAGTTTGGTGTCATCAGCGAACCTGCTGAGGGTATACTCTAACTCTTCATCCAGGTCATTGACGAAGAAGTTGAACAAGACTGGGCCCAATACTGACCCCTGGGGGACACAACTAGTTACAGGCCTCCAACTAGACTCAGCATCACTGATGACAACCCTCTGAGTTCTGCCATTCAGCCAGTTCTCAATCCACCTCGGCCTCCCCACAGGATGCTCTGGCCCATTGTCCCATCTGCATGGCTAGGGGACCAGGGAGTACTGCTGTGCCCCACAGCAAGCCATCACTGCACCCCGAGGGAACACTGGTTCTGGCTTTGGGCAGGGCAAGGAGCCAGAGCCTCAGTGAAACCGTACAGAGACAGCCACACACTGACCCCGCAGTGAAACCGCACTGGGACAGCCACACACCAACCTGAGGCGGCTGAGGGGGAAGCTGGTCTTGCATGGCTTCCCCTGTGGTCCGTGTCGTCCACAGGCTGTTTCAGAGGTAGAGACTAATTTAAGGAGTGGTATCAGGGAATGTGAAAACCCTCACCTTTTCAGCTGTCAAAGCTCGTGTCACGTCTCCTCCCGGCAATGGCATCTCAGCAGTACAGTGCCCCGAGACACAGAATCAGCCCCAAATGCTGCTGAGCGCAGGGTCCCCCCTGGGCCACCCAAATCCCACACAGCTACATCAAAGGACTCTCCCCAGAACTTATTCATGAGTTTTCTTTAGAGTCTGCTCAGCTGAAAAGTACGGTGGCATCAAACGGTACGTGCAATGGTTTTTTTTTTAAACAAACAAAGCCTCCAAGCCTGACAGGCAAGGGCAGGGATGGGATTAGGCAAACATCCTACACAGACGGTTCCTCTTTCTGTCTGTCAGCTTGTAAGTGCTTTCTCTTCTAGAACTATACAGTACTAACTGAGCCGGAAACAGCTATTTAAAAAGTGATTATAGTGTGACATTTTTGTTTGACCTAACATCAAGCCATGTGCAGCTTAAATGTCAGCAAAGCTATTTACTACAGGGACGGACAGGCCCTAGCACGCTTAAATCTACCCAGCGCCTGAAGACAGCTTGCCGTCTCCACTTGGTGCACAGGAATGACGCCGAAGCCACGACATGAAGTGCAGCGCTCCGTAAGCTGTGATAATTGACTGATGTGCTGGGTGGCAGAATGCATTCAGCGAGAGGCTCACAGGGAGGAAGATAAAATAGTGGATAATTAAAGTCAATCATCTCAGGCCTGTGCAAAAGGTTGCCTTGGATTAGCAAGGGCATGCCGATAGCTGGTGTGTTTTGTCCAGGGAAGTCTGAGGAGCTCAAATATTTGGACAAAAATAGCAAGCAGAATTTTCGTTTTGTTGACGCAGGAGCTGCCGTGGTCGCAGGCGAGGAGGGAGCCCAGCCAGCCGCAGAGCACAGAGCAGTGGACCCGGCTGTGGCTGCCGCGCAGGGTGACCCGTGCAGAGGGATGGAGGGGATGGGAGGCTTCAGGGCCATCTCACCCGCCAGCAAAATATCGGGCGAGCAGGGGGGCTAAGGCTGCTAGCTACATGCACGCCTCCCTTTGTGAGAACCGACAGGAATGAAGTGGCTTCAGACCCTGCAAAGATGCACACGCACGCACAGCCACAAAGCCATACTCTGAGCTGTACGGGATCGTGAGCTCTCCCTGGAAGACAACGAACTGGTGTGCAACGGATGGAGACAAGTACGCTTACAGGTCCTTAATGGGACTAGAGGCATACATTTGGACGGCGTTCCCGTCTGACCTTCTGCTCAGAGCCTAAAACAACAAACAAATCAGTGTGCCTTTATTTTGAGAGAACGTTGCTCACAGTAATAAGGGTGGGTGGGGGCACTCAAAAGGAAGCTGAGCTGTGATAAAACTTCCATTTTGTTCTTTCTTGCATGTCAGAAAAAAATTTACGTTGTAATTGAGTGCTTTTCAGAGTTTATTTTTCTTTACATTGTTACATGCCTGATCACATCTGATTTTGGAAGCTAAGCAGGGCCTGACTTGGCTGGCATTTGGGAAGCTGCAGAAAATGCAGCAGACTCCGTGCAGGATCTCTGTGCTGGTTACATGAATGCACGGTGCCTAACAGCGTGACTGGGGAGGAACGACAAGAATATTCACAGCTTTTCCATATTGTAAAACGCTGCTTTTCTCCAGATAGAGCAACTGCAATAACACCATGGCTGAAAATAACATCATGAATTTTTTTCAAATAACAAATAAGGACGGCTCGTGAATACTGGTTAATACCTATCACAGCGCACAGAAAAAGCCTTTAAGCAAACTGATCATCAGGTCACTAGAGACAGGATATAAATTCTTTAATTTCTGTCTGCTTGCTACTTACTTTTCTAAGTGTTGACAGTGGCAGGGGACTGCAAAAATCCCTTCAAAACTCCTTTAAGTACAATAAGTGAAAACAGTATAAACTTTTTAACAGAAAATATATGAGAGGTAGTCAGAAGATTTCGTTTGTGTGAGGTTTACTGTTGTTCTTGGTGTTTTCAGTGACAAAGGGCTTAATTATTTCGTATAAAGGTTCCTTCCTGCTTGCTTTACCTTAGAAAATTCCAGACGATCAAGGCCGGTCTGTTATGATTTTACTTGGAAGCTCCCAACCAAGGATTAAAACTTTAACAAAAGTTTCTTTCATTAAAAATGTTCATTAGTCATTCAAGTTAAAACAAACATCATTTAAAAAAATAATAAATGTAACTAGAACTCCCTTCCTCTCTTGCTTTCTTATCAAATGTCATCAGTGGGTACCGCTCAGATCCTGAGTGGGCCTTGTAGTCCGGAGTGAGCTTCATGTGTTTAGTTGTCCCTCCCCTAAAAAAGGTTAAAAAGGCAAAACCAACCGTGAATGTGCTACAGAGAAAACAGATCTCTGAGTACCTTTCTTCCACCTTTAAACAACAAATAAACACGATATGGCAAAGCAAGGCAAGCTTCACATGCTATAAGCCTCTCCCAGGTAGTGCCTGGGAAGCCCTCGTTCAGTTTTTGCAGCCCTTCTTTGTTGTATCGAATTGTGAGGGATTTCTAAGTCCTAATTTGGATGCATCCCCCAGCAGCAGAGAGAAACCGACAATTACTGAAGCAAGGCAAGTTGTTTTCAGTTTAGCAGTTTTTTTCTAAGCTAGGCTTGTGGTTTCATTTAAAGTTTGAATGCTTCCATTCTCTGAGAAGCGCAGTGGCTTTTCAATGGCAGAAGATCAAATGATGTTAATCGGGCAGTGTGACCTAATCCTCTAATTCAGCTGCCTTTTTACATTAGAAATGTTCTGCTCATGTAAGATTGATTTGCTCTTAAATTGACTTTTTTCTTCTGTTGTTAAACGCGCTATTCTGAAGGTCTAGTCCTAGCTCCACAGATCTGGTAAACAAAGAAGAGAAGACCACTTTTTCTTCACTTTGTACATTTAGATAGGGTTCTGATAGAAAATCTCTTGGTAATCGCATAAAGACCAAGATGTTATGCAACAGCAGCGAGAAGAACATTTTTCTTTTTGGCAGTGATCCTTCAGGTTACTTACACGGAATGGGGCTACTCCGGTCAGCTATTGCCCACTATAGGAAGACTACCACAAGCGTAATTTCTCCTCAGCCTCCAGATATACCTTCCATTGATGTTCTCACGCGTTTCTCCAAAGACTGAAAGAGCTCCTCACTCTTCCCGTTTCTTCTTTTTTCTTCCCTCACTTTTTCTGATGTGGTGGCTCTGGTGCAGAGCCCGGTGTGACGGGGCTGCTGCTCCAGCTCTGGCAAAGGGCAGCCAGGGCAGCGCCTCCCTGCAATGTCCTCCATCCACCCCTCCCTCCATCCTTGATCCCTGCATCTTTCCCGCCACGCTGTGCATCTATGGGTAGATTGCAGGCCGCAGCCACACCTGACGTGCAGGACCACAGGAGAGAAAACAGCCTGCTGGGTTGCTCTGTCAACAGCTGATGGCTTATGAGATACCATCCGAAATGGCGTCACGCTTCCATGGGGATGGGGTCAGCTGCGTGGCCCCTGAACACAGCCTGTCGGACGTGGCAGCTTTTCTGACACTGTAACACCAGAAGAGCTCCCGAGCTCTACAAGCACCAACAGACAGGCCATCAGCACTGGTTGTGTCTACCGACCTTCACAGCAGCATCCCCTAATGGCGGCCACGCGAGGCGAGCCTAGCCAGTTGGAACTAAAAGTCCCCCAAGCCTGGCGACAGCCATGGCTCCCCGCGGCAGGACCTTTTTATTCCTGCTCAAACCTGAAGGCCAGACCCTCCTGAAACATCAGGCTCTGTGGCCAAATGAGTGCTAATGGCCAGTACAAATTAAGTGTTGTTCACTTACCCGTAGGCTGGATTTGGCCAATATTTACAGAAGATAACCAGCCCATAGCTAACACTATCAATGTTAACCTACTTCCTATGACCTCGCCCGCTTGAGCTGCAGGGGAAGTCTCAGCAGAAGATGAGAAGATGAGAAGATGTCCAGCACTTGGCACAGACATCAGCACATGGCGCCTGTCTCAGCTGCTTTGACAGCCATCGTAGGGTGGCGCGGGGCTCCCTGGGCACGAGGACACGTGGCCCAGCATCTGCGAGGCACGAAGCAGAGGGGAGAGGGCCATGCCGCACTCCAGGGATTTGCTTCTTTTTCCCGTGCTGTTACTGAGGATTCTTGCAACAGATTTTCACTGGCTACTTCTACATCATTGCTACGATTGCCTCAGGTAAAGGAAGATAGAATACAGTCTGGAGAACTAAAACAACCATTTACAGTGCCTGGCAGGTGCTCTTCAACCTTTTTTGCTGCTGCGGAGGGCATCAGGGCTGTTGTTCCTGCCTGTTGGGTCTGTCATATGCAATCATCTTGCTATATCTATCTAGTGGACTACACAACCTTTTTTCAGTTCTTTCATTTTTTCCTGCCAGATGGTAACAAATGAATCCAATCAATTAATTACATTGCCTGAAGATATTTTGTCAACACGAGGCTGGCAGTGTCCGTGCTGGCAGAACACGTAGGAGTTTTCGAAATCCCTCGTGTTATTGTTGGTGTTACTTTAGGTAAACCACAAGCTGATTCAGATCCACCTTATGAGTAGTTAATGGGTCTGTCCCCAGTCATCTGGCATTCGTGGAGATGATTTTCATGTTACTGCGCTACCTGTGTACAACATCCCTTTTCCCCAGTGCTGTTTTCTTAAAAGAAATTGAAGCATAATTTCAGCCTGGCATTGGGCAGCAGCAAACGTGGTCTAAGCAAAAATTTGTGGGCAGAGAGCGCCATCTCCAGCTACCACACAATAATTACTCGGTGGTAACAACAAAACTAGTTTGGTATTTCTCCTATGGAATTGCCATCTCTTCCAGCAATAGATGGAGGAAAAACGCCATCTGAGATAATGTCAAATATAACAGAGATGAAATTTGTTCTATGTTATGGTCCTCCAGCCTACAGAGAGCCTCTGCATCTCATACTACATATGATGCTTTTGGTAAGTACTTGGAAAAGCTCATAAATGATATCTCTAGTATTGTCCCAGAATGACTGGGTAGAAAACTAGTGCAAATAAGCAATGTGCAAAAATAGCATACAAAGTGCATGCAGAAGAACTGTATATATTAAAATGTTACAAAATTTGGAAATACTACAAAAATCACACAAATATTACATAAATACATTTAATTACACAAACAAAAATACTACAAAATATTACAAATATTACAAAAATTACATAAATACAAAAAATTACATAAATACAAATACAAAAGAATTACAACAGCTGTATTAAGTCAAACTGTATTTCGTGTACATTTTATCCCACATAAATGATACATATGTTAGTGTACACTTTTAAAGAAATCCATACTGAAAAACATAAACAAGACATTATTTATAGCTGATGCCTGAGAACTCATTCTCCACCACGATGCTAAATGATGTCGTTGCCATCCTGTTACCCAGCAGCTTTCTGTTCTTCCTAACATCATGGGAAACCTCAGGCCTCCAGAGCATTCACAGCTCCAAAGGGTTCAGACAGAGCAGAGATACTAAGTGCATTAGACAAATCCATCTGTGAATGCAGGTACGCTGCTTTTGACAGCAGTCTCTAAACTAAACGGACAGTCGAGGCCGGGGCCTGTGAGCCCAGCTTCATCAATGTCAGAGAGGAGTTTGTTCTAGAAATGTATCTTAAGGACACCAGCCGCAAAGAAATTACCGTACAATAAAATTTGAAAACATGTTTCCTCATGTGTGTTGTGCAAGACTCCTCCATATTAAAGAACTGTTAAAGAATTTGCAAAAACAAATGGATTACTGGATTTAAAAGGCTATGAATACTAAGCACGTACCTTGGATAGACGAATCAGGAAGGGTTAAAAGACAAAGCATCTGTTATCATCTAGCCTTAAAAATAGCATTCCCGAACCAGATAGAGCATCTTCTTTAAAATGCAAATTATTAAATTACTCTGTGTCATTTTTATGACTGAGTTCAGAAAGTATTTGACAACTGTTCAGAAAACCAAAGATTCAGATTGCAGCCACAGACGCAGCAAGATACAGACATAAAGCTGATGAAGCTCTGTGGAAAAGAAACCTGTAAAGGACAAGAAGGCAATCGAGAACGGCTGGCATGGATTTATGAAGGACAAATTGCAGCTGGCCAACCCGATTGCATCCTATGATGAAATGGCTGGCTACACGGACAAGGAGGCAGAAGTGGACACAACAGACCCTGACTTCAGTACAGCTTTTGAAATAATTTCCCACAGCACTTTCATTCACAAACTGAGGAAACACAGCATGAACAAGCTGGCTGTTAGCTGCACTGAAAACTGTTGAGGCTGATGGGCTCTGTGGGTGGCAGCTGGTGGCTTGTCAACCTGCCTGAAGGCCCATAGCACGTTGAGTACTTTAGGGGTTGACAGTAAGACCCATAGAGTGCATTATCTTCATCAAAAGCCTGGACCATGGGACAGGATGTTCCCTCCACATATTTTAAGATACGGCTACATGAGTGGGGATGGTGGACATGCTAAATGGTCGAGCTTCAGTTCTGAGAGACTTTGAGAAGCTTAAGGACTGGGCTGACAGAAGCCTTAGCACCTTCAGCAAGGAGAAACACATACGAGCAGAAACGCTCAGCCCTGCACCTAAGGCAGAACAAGCCCTTCCACTGGTACCGGCTGGGAAGGAACGGGCTGGCTATCAACTTTGCCAAAAGGACCCGGGGTTGTGTGAAAGCCAAGTCCAGTATGAGCCAACAGCGCGCTCTCATCCCAAAGAGGACAAATCACACAGCAGCCTGCTTTAGGAGGAGTATGGCCAATAGACTGAGGAAAGTTACTGTCCTCCTCTGCTCCGTGTTGGGGAGTCCCTGGCTGGACACAGGGCCCAGACTGATGCTTCCACAGATCAAGATCGAGTATCTCCAGCAAAGGCTACCGAGACAGTCAGGATCTAAATCCCATCACCCTGAAGGAGAGGCTGAGGGACTCTGGGCCTCCCTTGCCTGTTGAAGAGCGTAAGGGGCCACGTAACAGCAGCCTATGGCTACTTGAAGGGAGTCTACAAATAAGACAGAGCTAAACTCTCCTCGGTCATGGTAGGCAACGCAACAAGAAACCACAGACAGAAGTGGCTCAGGAGGTCCAAAAAGGACCTTATGACACAAATTCTTTACTTGGAAGGCAGTTGACCTAGAGAAACTATGAAATTTTCTCTCTTGGGTGGTTTCAAGAGCTGTTGAGAGAGAACTGCACCGATGTGGCTGACTTCCAGTGCGGTGGCTGAACTGTGCAGCACCCAGAGGTCCCTTCCCCTTCCGACCAGCCCGTGACGGCTGGGCACAGATTTGAAGCTGCTGACTTTCCTGGTCCGTGATTCTTGTTTATTGTGGGCAGACAGCCTTAAAATGGTCATCGAAACATTGTCTGAGCTTTATTATTAATTGAGAAGCGTGTTTAAGTATACCCACGAGCAAAAATAAACATGCCCTGCCATCTGTCAGTACCTGGCAAACTGCAGATGTCGTTTTCTGAAAACAAAGTATTTCATAGAATCATAGAATGGTTTGGGTCAGAAGGGACCTTAAAGATCATCTGGTTCCAACCCCCCTGCCATGACCAAGGACACCTTCCACCAGACCTGCTTGCTCAGAGCTCCATCCAACCTGGTCTTGAACACTGCCAGGGAGGGGCAGCCACCGCTT